TTTATTGTTTTCTAATTTTTGTTCCGCAACTAAAACTCCAACAGAAATCACTTTGAAAGTACAAACATAGTTTTTATCATCTTCAGTTTACAGTGAAATGCTAAAATATAAAAGATTTTTCCCTGTAAGTTGCATAATTAATACTATCGATAAACTAATGGTTAATCATATAAAATTACCTTCAAAAATCCTAACCTACTGTTACGCTTTCCTACCAGATTTTGAAGAACATCTAAAAAAACAAACTTTAATGTATTAAAAAAGAGATATTTTTGGCAGGTTTCCTCAAAACAAAAGTTAAGATGTGGAACAAAGAAAATACGTTCAAGTTTAATAATAATATTAAATAAATTTTATTTTGTCTTTTAGTATTAGAAAATGGTTTTTGTAAAGAAAAAATTTGATTTTTGACATTGTGGATTTCTCGGCTGGAAAATCGAGAAGACTATGAAACCACAGATATGTAAATATACACACATACGCACACACAGATATATATTTATACATTTATACATAAATATTATGTTTTTGCAACATTTATGTTCATTATCATGATTTTAAACACAGAGCATAAATTTTTAGTTTTATCAGCAAATACACATTTTTGAAGCCCATTTATTTAATATAGCAAGTTTGACGGTATAAAAAATGTTCTTTTAAAGTTAGTAAAATCTATCAAGATTAGAAACATCAACAACTAATTTCAAAAAAAAAAGAAAAAAAAGAAAATTATAACCAATAAAAATTTGCTTGTATTAGCTGATAAAACCGATAATTTATACAAACTGTATGCTAAAAAACATAAAAAATTAATTAACAAAAAAACCTTTAAAAAAGCACATTATTTTTGAAAAATTAGTGGCTTAAAAACTAATTAAATTTAGAATAGAACTTAAGTAACCAAATAGCTTCATAATTATACTTAAGTAACCAAATAGAATGCAAAAACTTAGCAAAATAACCAATATTTTTTAATTTGAAAGACCATAAAAAAAACTTTAAGTCAAAACTAGCATGCTTTCTCATCTGGCACAAAGTAAAACTGGAAATATATGTAATATAGACACCTGTAACAAAAACTTTAGAAATATATAATATATAATACACTAATTGTTTGTTTATTCAATTTGATAAAAATGAATTTTCCATAACTACCAAAATATTTAATAAAGCCATTTCCTTTGTAAAACAAAACACTTCCACAAAAGACAACCAACTTAAAGCAATAGCATGTAATTAAAATCTTAATCATGAATGTTTTGAAATAACAATGGGTAATTACTTAAATTAGTCACCTTCTATGATATCACTTATATTTTAATCAAAAGTATTTATAAGACTATTTAAAAACCTAAAGATAATCTTCTATACACCCATACATCTTCTAACATCAAACTGTTAAACACTTATCTACTTCAATATGCAACTTTTGCAAAACTCCCTGAACAATGCAATATTTAAAATAATTAAACAAATACTACAACCTAAATAGCAGATAAAAAAACAGCTTCCTTAATTATCATACTAAACCGATGCTGCAAAGCAAAACTATCTTAAGTCCATTTTTAGCAAAATTGACTTTTTTGATTTAAAATACTCCTTGGTGCACTAAAGTCATTGCACAAAGTATGAAACGAAAATTGATTCAACTATTGCAACGTTGCTAAGTCCATTTTTTGACAAAAAAAAACCTTTTTGGTTTAAAATACTTAATACATATAATAAATAACTGAGAACAAGTAGATTTAATCAAAAAAATTAAAAGTGATTAAATTTAAAACTTTAAATGTCTTTTTCTCAGAACATGCTAAAACAGACTTAAGATGGTCTTGTTTTGCAGCGACAATTTAAGTTGAACAAAAATATTTTTAAAAAAACTCTTAAAAACCACCACAACAAAAATCAAAAAAACTAAAAAGTTATTGTCAAAACAAGACAGAATGCCCTATAAATAAACAGTGTAGATTCACATATATTATATATATATAAATAGTGTAAGTTCACAAACATTATATAAATAAACAGTGTAGATTCACAAACATTATATGTAAATGTATTTCCCCAGATAAAAACCAGCCCAACAGTTTATACTAAATTTATGGAGGGTGAATGGAAGACAGAATATAATAAGTATAAAACATCATTCAGTAATGTTAAATACAAAAAGTCAACATCCCAATCTAGCTATGGTTGGATTTTTTTAAATTTTTATAAATTTGAAACACAAGTTTAACAATATTAAAACATTTACATCAATATACAAATTGCTTAACTCAATTTTTGACAAAATGATTTGTCATAATTCCAATACAAATGCTAAGTCAAACATTTTTGCAAATCCTCTCAAGAAAAATGGGAAAATAAGAAAATAACTCCTATGTTAGTATTGGCAATGTGCAAAATAGACAACTTTGCCAATCTGTATGCAGACTTGTGAGAGATTTGTTGTGAATTCTTCAAAATATTTTACAAAAAAATGGTTTAGTTATTTCATCCTGTAAAAACTTAATTGCAAATGTGAGTATTAAATATACTTTTAATGAATTTGTTAAAGATTTTTTTATCAGTTGTTTCTTAATATATGAATTAATATTATTTCAACTGTTTTTTTAATATTGTTATCAATTATTTCATTATATAAAAAATCTAGATTAGTAATTAAAATCTAGATAATTTAAACTTCTGCAATTCATTCATTTTATACAATCTATTAAAATTTAAAAGAAAAAAGACAGTAAATCGTCTTACACATGTCATGGTTATTGCGTTAGGAACATGTCTCATTTGCTTTTGGAACATGTTGACATTTTACAACAAAGTAAAAAATAATTAGTTTATCAAAAATATGTATTTTTTTGTCTGCTCTGCAAACCATTTAGGAGTTACCCAAATTGCATATTAAGATATCAAAAAGATAAAAATCTGGAATCTGTAACCCCTTCCCCTACCCTCTAACCTTTACAGCAATATTTCCAAAAGGTTAATGTGGTTATAAAAAAAATTTTCAATTATATTGTATCTAAAATAAACAAATAATTAAACAAACTAAAATTATAAAGAAGTCATAAAAATAAACTCTTGTTAAAAAATTACTGAGCTGACTGCAAACCCAACTTACCACTAACATTTTTTATAAAAAAATCACTATGTTAAATAATAACTTATTCACTTAATTGAATATAGCTGTTATGATTTATATTATATTTTGCAATTTATATATTTTTAATAAACAATACACATACCTGGTATACTTTTCATAACTTTTTCTTTAGCATGTTCACGAGTTCTTAATTTTTCCTGAAAATAAAAATGAAAAAATTTAAATTATGTATTTATTAGTGTACATATTTTCAAATCCACTTATCTTATTGTTTGTCGGTACAAAATTTGATATGATGTTTTAATTAAAAAAATTCACTATGTTAACACGAAATGATATACAAGATCTGTTCTTGGTGGTGGATATGGAGCGAGTTTGCCTTTTGGCCACATGGATTGTTTGAAGTTATCGATGTAATAGATCAACATTGGTTCAGATAATAGCCAACCAACAAATTCGCGCAAATGTCTATAAAAGCAGAATAGAAATGGTAGAATATTAAGGATTTTGTCATATTTTCAATAATATTTCTTTTACTTGTTAAATGCAAAGTGATTCAAAAATTGATTGAAAACTAGGATTGGCTAAACAATACAAATATCTTTTACATCAATATAAATTTAAACTTCTGAATATCATATTTATAAAAAGAAAAGAAAGTACCTGTTTATAGTCCCTCCAAATGTTACTTGCACAAATGAAATCAATGTCTTTCGAAGAAGCTTAAACACTGAATTTAGTATAATAATGCTAACTGGCTAGTTGAATTAAATAAATTTTATTCTTATACAAAACATGGGATCTTACCTCCTTTGAGTTCAAATAGTTCTCCAATAAGTGTGTACAGTGGTTCGGCAATGGAATCTTTTCTATCAATGCTACTAAAATGCAATCACAACAAAATATTACTAAAACATGAAGTAAAAGAAAATTTTTTAATATACTTTAAATGATACTGTCAAACTTGTATTGAATTGAAATATTTGTGAAAATAGACAAACTTTTCTTCAACTCCAGGTTCCTAAATTATTAAATAATAAAAAACTTTAAAAATATATCAAATGCTATTAATAATTTAACTAAACATTAAGATTTAAAATTGTATAAAATGAATAATAGTTAAAAAAATACCATTTCGTTGCCATCAGCACCATCGGATATAAAAATATCAGGAAAAGAAATGTTTTGAATCGATCTAATAAATTTTTATAATTCTCATTCAATATAACAAAAACTTTAATCATTGAAATTTAATTCATTTTAAATTTAAAACACATTGAAACAAAATTTGAATCTATATATAGGATTTCTAATTAAAATAATTCATTTATATTTTTTATTTGTTCTTTTAATAATTAACCAATTAACTTACCCTTTAATAGTCTTTATTAAAGATAATGGTGTCTTTATCTCGCCAATAGAACTTTAAAATATACATAAATTTAAACCAATTATGAATTCATTATAAACAAAATCCTACCTAAAATGTCAAAAACAAACTCATGTTTCTGTATAATAATTAAACAAAGTTGGCCATTTATTTTGTATGTTAATCAAATTTTATTCTTTTTGTTAAAACGTGTTTAGAGAACTTAAGTTTGTTGTGGTAAGTCTAGAGTTTAGCCGAAAGCTTGTATAAATATTTTTTATATATAAATAAATTTAATATGAATATATTTTCCAATTAAAAAAGCATTTTATGTATTTTTTTGCTGTTTCAAATACTTTCAAAATTTTTTAAAAAATTAAAAAGAAGATGTTTAGTTGAAAATAAAATAAAAAATGATAACTTTGAATTTTTTGATTTTTATTTACAAATTTTATATTTAAATTTTTTTTTATAGAAAATATTTCCTTAGAAGCGTCATATACTACTTTACATTTGTGCCAAATTTCAACACTTAATCTTTAGTAACAAAAAAGTTATTGATTTTTGATCCAAAACAGACCTTTATTTCCACAGTGTGGCAGGGTGTTCACTCGCCCATAAGATGCTATTTGCATGTTTGTGTTCTGCCTGAACTTCTGGTATGGTATTGGTTCATCCATAAGTTAACATATGAATGTTTGTGTTCTGTATAAACCTCTGGCACGGTGTTCACTAGCCTGTAAGTAACTTTATGTATGTTTGTGCTCTGTTAAAAATCTCTGATGCAGTGTGAGCTCACTAACCAACTAGTGCCTCAAACTATAAAACCTCACCTACTACCCTAAACCTCACCAAGATTCTTTATGTGAGTTTTTGGGCTAATGTTTTTTTCCTCTCTGTTATTAAATGTGTATCCTATACAACATCCTGGATCCAGTTAGGTATGGAGGCTTTTATACCTTCTTCTCAGTTTCAAGTCAAGCCTAATTCTATTCCATGGATTTTACCTTCTTGGGCATTTAGTAATTACAACCTTAGCAAATTTGCTTGAGCACATTCTATCTGGTTGTTGCTAGTGCAGGCAATACCTTTATAAATAAAGAAAAAATTTAGCTTATTCTGGTCTATTTTTTTTTTTTTTTAATGTCAGCAGATTTTTATATATATATATATATATATATATATATATATATATATATATATATATATATATATATATATATATATAATATATATATATATATATATATATATATATATATATATATATATATATATATATATATATATATATATACATATATATATAAAGAATAAAATATATATATATATATATATATATATATATATAAAGAAAAAATTTAGCTTATTCTGGTCTTTTTTTTTTTTTTTTTTAATGTCAGCAGATTATATATATATATATATATATATATATATATATATATATATATATATATATATATATATATATATATATATATATATATATATATATATGTATATATATACATATGTATATATATATATATATGTATATATATATATATATATATATATATATATATATATATATATATATATATATATATATATATATGGGCAATTCCATGGCGCAAAATGAAAAAGTAGTCAAATTTTAATCTCTTTTTTGTCAACATTTAGCAAATAAATATTGATGTAGACACATGAAAGTTTATTTAAAATATACCTTTAGTACTAAAATTAATCTATTTAAGTCATTTTTACGGTTTTTCTCATTGTCGCATGATAAATTTATTACCATGAATTTATTTACATAATCGAAATTAATTTAGCGTGAAAATGAAGCTAACATGTTCAAATTGTTGTTGGTCAGATTTTATATATATTATATTCTTGAAATATATAAAATATATATATTTCAAGAAAAAAACGAAAAAACTTTTGCAATTTTTATGTAATGTAAGTTAACAAAAACATGATAAAGTTTTTTTTTTTTTAAATTTAGTTAAAAAACTCAAGTTTTTTAATAAAATATGAGAAAGAATATTAAATGTTACATTTTTGAATTGAAAGTTTTGAATAACGACGCTTAGTTAAAGCACATTTTTATTTTTAATTTGTGTAACATAAGTTAAAACTACAAACATTTACTAAAGTTCTGACGCTTTTTCGTTAACAAAATGAATAACACTACTATGTAATTCTTATTTTGTCAACATTCTAACTGAAACACGCCACTCTATATTAGTTGATTCTTAACCCCTTCCCTCCTGTCACAAACGATCACATATACCTTCTCCCTCCTAAATGGTGATAGCAGTTTTTCCATAAAAATTTTTTTAAAAGATTTAAATGTAAATACTTTGTAATATTTTAAAAATTCAATCTAATGAAAATAAGGCAGTACTCAGGAAGAGTGCCACCAGTTTTTAAAATTTTTTTTTGTAAATTATTTTTAATGAATGAGTTTAATACTTTTGCAATTCTTTTGTAACGTAACTCTTATGTAACTCTTACGTAACTCTAACTCTTAATAATAGATATAAAAAATCGACAATAGTATTCGTTCTGTAATGTAAGTTCAATACATAGTATCAAAAAAACAGTTTATTTTCCTTAGCCAGACACCTCTGATAAATTTTTATATATTTTTTAAATTGGTATAGAATTCTCAACATGATGTAAAAGTTTCAATGCAAACCGCTTTACTGATTCCCAGAAATCTGACCTAAAAGTTTAAGCAATTTTTTTACCTTAATTTTCGTGTAACTTAAGTTAAGTGGCATTTTCAGCAATAAGTTCGCCCTCTTTTGACAGACTCAAAACTTTTCAGCTTATTTTATTCTTTAGACTAACAGCTTTCATACAAAATAGCTAAAAGTTTAATTTACAGTTTAAATAGGCAAATGTTTGATAAAGTTGTTGCACATGTAACATAAGTTAAAAATGGAATTGCCCATATATATACCTATAGTGATGCAAGCAACCACTATTAGAGTTGGAAGTTACTGGAAGAGAAAAGATAAAGTTTATAGAGTAAGTTATCGATTGGCAGAAAACCTAAAAGATTGCAAATTATATGAATCAGGAAAGGAAGATAAAAAGAAAATTCCAAAGAACTGATGTTCAAGGTAAAAAACTAGATGAATAAGAGTTTTTGGACCACTTAGGAACAGTCACAGTAAAAGGATGAGACTTAATTGAATGACGAGTTACAGAAAAATGATTTTTAGTAGATAGCACAAGAGACGCCAGCTCTTTAGAGCAGTGCCCATTATAGTATTTATAGAAAAGAGAAAAAGAAACAACATTACAACCATGTGATAATGCGCTTTTGTACCTTGTCAAAAAAAGAAAAAGGGCATATTTTAAAGATCCGCCCCAGATATGGCAACAGTATTCCATACAAGGACAGATTTAAGATTTATAGAGATAAAGAATAGAATCCGGAGTAAGAAAGTATTAAGCACAACAAAGAGATGCAACCTTAGCAGGTGCTAATTTTTCAATGGATTTGATGTATTGTTTGATTAGAAGTAAGATTTAATCCTAGAATATTAAGGGTAGATGACTTGTCGAGTACATCACCATTCATAAATATAGGAAGATCTAAATTATTGTAGTAATTTGATTGAAAGAAAAGTAGGAAGATCTAAATTATTGCAGTAATTTAATTGAAAGATCTGCTGAAAAAAATTGGATTTAATCTGAATTAAAGTTCACCAGCCACTGTGAGCCCCATGCTGTAGCAGAAGTGAGATCTTTTTCAAGCTCAAATGCCTCTTGCCAAGCATTCAGAGAATGTTGACTTCTTATCAAGACAAGAATAAATAGTGGTATCATCAGCCAACAATGCCAATATGTGAGAAGATTGGGAAGATGGTTAATGTAAATTAAAGACAATAAGGCCAAGGATAAAACCTTGAGGAACCACTAAAGTTACAGGATATGAAGAAGAGTGCAGTCTATCAAAGAGATCTTTTATACTACGATTGGTAAGAAAGGATTCAATAATCTTAAAGATGTTATTTGATACACCGTAAGAAGAAAGCTTAAGGAGAAGATGCCAAACTTTATCAAAAGTTTTAGAAAGGTCAAGAGCAATAGCCTTAACCTCTCCACCTCTGTCTAATGCACAATAAAACCTTTCGGTTGTTAGCAAATCAGCTGTAGAACAAGAAGATTGAAATCCATATTGACAATCAGAAAGTAAGTTATTAGATTCAAGATGAGAGATTAAGTGATTGTTAATTAAAGATTCAAAAACCTTGCTTAAGATAGGAAAAAGACTAATTGGACAATAGTTAGATGAGTCAGATCGCTCTCCAGAATTATTGAAAATAAGGATAACAGATACCGCTTTCCAGAAAGCTGGAAAAAAAGACTCTGATAAGCACTTGTTATATAGTTTTTTTATAAAGGACAGCTCCGGAGAATACTTTTACAAGACTACAACAGGTATGTTGTTCAGACCACAAGTTGTAGAAGAGTCTAAGCAGGAAATCACTTTAGATACAGAAGCTGAAGTGATACGAATGTCAAGGAATGATCAACCTGTTTTTCGGCTATATCAGGTAGAACGCAACTAGTGGAATCAAGAAATGATATTGATGAAAAGTTCTAAGCAAATAATTCAGCTTTGACTTTAGGTAAGGTGACAAAATCTGAAACATTCAAGAGAGGTGGAATAACAAATTTGCTATATATATATATATATATATATATATATATATATATATATATATATATATATATATATATATATATATATATATATATATATATATATATATATATATATATATATATATATATATATATATACTTTAAAAAAAAACCAAAAACCAAATATAATAGGGTTTTTTGGGTTATTTAAAAAATATCATATTTTACTACAAATAATTTTAGCTCCTATAAATGCTTTATTATAAACAAATTGCAAGTTTTATACTATTAAAACTCTCTACTAAAACTCTTGTACTTTTATAGATTATTCTTGTATATTTTGTGTAATTTTAGCCTAAACAAGTAAGTTATGTCCACAGGACCGCAATAAAAGTTCAAGATATCAAGTATTCGAGATATCAAGAGTTGACTGTATACACTGTATTTATATATAAAATAGTATTTAGAATATAACTTTAGTCTGAACTCCATACAGAATAATCCAAAATCCATTAGCGTTAAATGTTAAAAAATTTATTATTGTAATATGTATTAAAATATTAGGGCAAATTAGTTAAATTTTATAAAGGAAAATAAAATCAATCTATTAACTTAATTTCAAAATACAATAGATTACTCGATATTTTATGTATCTACCCTCTCCTCACGAATGCCTAAATGTCTGAACAAGAGTTTTAAATCTGTCATTTTAAATTCTATTTGATTTTTATTTTGTAAAGTTTTAGTAAAATTTATGAAACAAACTGCAAAATTCAGTGCAAGGCCACTAGCAGAACAGTATATAAAAATTGTTTCACTTTTTTCACAGTTTATTAGACTATGGACTTGTCATTGTGAAGTGCATATAACCTTAAAACACTAAATACATACGCTATGTGGATGCAAATTTGCAACATGTTTGCTTATCATTGTTTGTTGTCATTATTCAATATATCAATAATAACTGGAATAGCTTCATTAATGGGTATGGATGGATATAAATTATCTATATCAAATGAAACTTGAACTATATTAGGATCTATTTCCCATTGCCTGGCTTCATTAATGAGAGCAAGGCAGTGGGAAACTCAAACCCAAAAAGTAAAAAACTTGATGTTGATGAGCAACCTTTAAAAATTATTCAATCATGCCCAAACTTCACGATTGTTATTCTTACACATGTCACATAAAGAAATGGTACCATCAAAGAAATTAAAAAAAAAATTTTTTTGCACCACCCTAATATATATATATACATATATGTATATATATATATATTTTTGCCGACCTGAAAGAATTTGAGGTCGGCAAAAAGTGTCGAACTCATTTCTATGTTTTATGGTTAGACCTTTGTATCAAATAGTTTTTTAGATCAAAACATAACTGCAAAAATTGTGTTAAAGCAAGTCATTCCTTTCTTCAAGAAAGCTAATATTCCAATGATGACAGATAAAAAGGCCTGTGAAAAAATCATTGCACTGTCTAAAAAGAATGCAAAACTTTGGCAACAAGAATGAAAATTTTGTATGCACAACAGTTTGCACTCACTGAGGCCATTATTAAAGGAGGTGATGCTAGCAAAATTGCTGTACCATATGCCACAGCAAACAGGTAAAGCTGTATGGTGAATGAAGAAATTGCTTCTGAAGTTCAGAAGTCATGTGTTCCACCAAAGTATGCTTCCCTGCACTGGGATTCTAAACTGATGAAGAGCTAGGCAACACATGACTTACAGGAAAGACTTGTGGTCGCTGTTAGCAACAACACCAATGTCAAAATTTTTGGCGTATCTGCTTATCAACCAGGAACAGATCAACGATCTGGAGATATCATCACTAATGCTAAAATGCAGTTGTTGCAGTCTGTGCTGAATCAATGGTAAACATGACTTTTGATACTACGGGCAGCAATACCGGACATGTCAGTGCCGCTTGTGTGGCTCGCAGCATAGAATCGGCTGTGCATTGGTCTGGTCTGCATGCCATCATCACGTTGGAGAAGTTATTTTAACACACATTTTTAAAGACTAGCACATTGAAGCATCAAAATCATTAGAAGTTACTGTGTTTAGCACATTTAAGAAGCACGTTGACACAGTTCCTCATGGAAGCGACAAAAAAACTCAGTCCATTCAACCCTTGACCTTTCTCGAATCATTCACAAACTGTTTCTCAAATTACTATGTGGAAGGAAAATGCAGAAGCAGCTGCTGAATCTTAGAGCATCAGCAAGAAGACTATAAAGAATTCAGTGAATTATGTTTGCTGTACCTTGATCCAGAAAACAGACAGTTTCACTTTTGTAGACTGGGTGCAGTCCACAAAGCACGGTGGATGTCCAAAATATCGTACTCCATCAAAATGGTCCTTCTTGAAGAGCAGATCCGTTTGATGCCAGCAGGAACAATTACCACTGGTGCACAGCAGATGAAGTTACACAGCTTTGTCACCTTTGTGTGTCTGATATACAGTGCCTGGTGGACAACATGTAGATTTGAAGTTGACACCCCATGTCATGATCTCTGCTTTTATCAGAACCTTCTGAAGTATACATAAGTGAGTTCTGAAATATCTGAAAGTGCTATAAAAGCACTGAAGCGTCATCTGTGGTACTTATGTTCTGAAATGGTGCCCCATGCTCTATTCAGTGACATTTTCTCAAAGCATGAATTGCAGTACTTAGCCGAGAAACTTCTGGCAGCAAGGCCTAGTGATGGAATGTCACTGCCGCATGATCGCTACGAAACTGGCTTAAGTCCAGACTTTCTAGATACAGCTAAAACCGAGGTGAATTATCAGAACACTCTGCAAGTTGCTGAGGCTGACAGAAAAAAAGCTCCAAATCTGCAGATATTTGTATTCGTTGTGGACCCATTAAATTGCCTCAGAAAAATCTCAAATTTTTACAGGAGTCATAATTAATGAAGTGGAACACAGGAATCAAAAATTGTTGAGGGTTTGATGCACCCTAATATATATATATATATATATATATATATATATATATATATATATATATATATATATATATATATATATATATATATATATATATATATATATATATATCAATTAACTAAAATATTTTGTTTAAATTTGAACATAAAAACAAATTGTATTTAAAAAAAAAACTTTGTATATAATATAAAAAAATATATATATTAATGTAAAAATTATCAACTCTAATATTTACAAAACAAATGTTTAACCGATTCTTAGAGGATTGAACACGCAAGTGATCTGGACTAGGTATAAGGAAGATATAAATTTCATCACTGTGAGATAGTCGCTCATCAGCAAGAATAATCTAAAGATAGTTAAAATTAAAATGTTTCAAAATTTTTATATTTTTATCTGACTTGTAGTCAGATAAAAATATAAAAATATAAAATGTTATGCTATTTAAAACTTTCCAAAAAAAAAATAATAATATTAATTATATCAATCAATACCAATAATATTGTTTTGATCTGAGAGGTTTATAAAAAACATATACATTATATAAGAAAATTAATGTTATAAAAAAATAAAGTAGGAAAATAAGAAAATGCACATCAAGATACTCCTGCAATGATTCTTTCAAAGTCTCTAAGTTTTCAGCAACCAGTTTTCGATGATACCATTTTTTGGATGATACAGGAAGCTCTTTGCTCATCCAGTTGCAACACTAATTAAAAAGCTTCATTTTTATATTTTTTTTATAAATTATACAAATTAATTTTAATTTCAATATTACCTCTCGAATCTTGTCATGTAGATTCTTAAAATCATTAAGTGTTCTGCAAATTACCCATCCTGCTGCAGTTGGTTTTGGTTCACTCTGTTCTCTTTCATCACAAGATACACAAATGACAAATATTGGATTACTTTCTTCATCTGTTTTATTCTTAAAATAAAAAAGCAAAATTAAACAAATCTTAAAAATTTGACAGAAAACCTTAACAATACTTATAAACTTAAATTTAAATTAAAATTAAATTTCATCTCACCTGTACACTGACAATACTTGCTTTCCAACGTCCCAACATCTCACACCAAAGATCTGCAATTGAATGTATAATTAACTTTAAATTTCTAATGAATATACTTTCATGCATTTTATATAATACATGAATCATGAATGTTGTGCATTTGTATAAAGATCTTATTCAAAATATGCAAATATAAAATAAACTTCTTTTTTAATGAATTTATATATATATATATATATATATATATATATATATATATATATATATATATATATATATTATATATATATATATATATATATATATATATCAACCCTTGGAATTAGGAAAAATTGAGGTTGGCAATAATTTGCAGACCTCAATCTTTTTGAGGTCGGCATCAGGTAGGGAAAAATTATTTGATACAAAGGTCTAACCATAAAACATAGAAACGAGGTCAGCAATTTTTTGCCGACCTCAAACATTTTCAGGTCCGTAGTTAGGTCGGCATTGCCTAATGTTGTTGTTTCACTATGAATAGGTTCATCTGGAAGAATCTGATTCTTCCTGATTAACTTGGTGATGGTGAAACAACTTGTTGAAGTAAATTAGATGTGTTTTTACTAATATATATATATATATATATATATATATATATATATATATATATATATATATATATATATATATATATATATATATATATATATATATCAACCCTCGGAATTAGAGTTGACATTCGGCAATGCCAACCTAACTGCTGACCTAAAAGTGTTTGTTTCTATGTTTTATGGTAAAACCTTTGTATCAAATTTTTTTTCTCCAAATCTGCAGATATTTGTATTCGTTGTGGACCCATTAAATTGCCTCAGAAAAATCTCAAACTTTTACAGGAGTCATAATTAATGAAGTGGAACACAGGAATCATGGGCCAAAACTGAAGTAAATAGTTAAAAAATTGTTGAGGGTTTGATGCACCCTAATATCTATAATATCACCCCAGAAAAATGAGGTCGGCAAATTATTGCCGACCTCATTTTTCCTAATTCTGAGGGTTGATATATTTTTTTTTTCAGTTTATATTATTGTATTTAAATTAATGCTAATAATAATTAGTCAACAATTTGTTTATTTTATTTTATCATGTGATATTCAAGTGTTTATTTTGTTGATTGTATCTTTTTTTTCTTCTTCATTTTGATATTGTTCCCTCATTTTGAACTCTTATACATTTTATTGCTGTTTTTGTGTGCTGTGTTTTAATTTGTTATGTTTTAGTTTAAATCTTTTTTTTTTACATTTTATAATTATCATTTACATTATTTTTATTATTTATCATTATTATTTGTATTATTTTAATAATTATCATTATTATTATAATTATTGCTGTTGTTACTTTAGTTATTATTATTATCATAACTTTTATCTCTAGTATTTAATTAATGTAATTGTTTTAATATCATTGCTAGTAGTTATTTTTATCAGTTTTTAACTGTTCGTAACTTTCTGACTTTGTGTATATAAGTTTTGTGATTATAAAAGTTTTACTAATCTGATAATATAATAATACGTTAATTTAATATTATTATTAGTCGAGTTACGTCATTTTCTAGGCTTTTCTATTTTAAAGTAGCTTCTAGGCTTTTCTATACGCGGGTTTTTTTTTTAATTTTATTTACTAACAACACGTATTACAGGTTGCTTACTGCTAGTTGTTATTACTATTCTAGTTACTATATAAAAATTACTGTTTTGGCTACCATTATTTATATTATTAATATTGTTGCATGTTGTATTTCATTGATATTATATATTGTGAACATAAACATATTATTATATATTATTTTTATTATATATTAACAATAATAGGTATATTTTATATTTTCATTGTTTTTATTTTTTAATTATTTTAATTTATGCTTTATTAATATTGCT